GCTCATGCAGCAGCCAGTTACTTGGGTCTATCCCGACATTATCCAAAGCCAGGCCTCTGGAGGTGACCCTCTCCCTGGGCCCCCTTTCTCCCAGCGACAACAGGACCTACGGCGTGGCGCTGGGACGGCACAACCTCTACATTGCGGAGTCTGGCTCGCTGCTCGTCAGTGTCTCTCTGATTGTGGTGCATCCGAAATGGAACTCCAGCGATGTCTCCAAAGGGTTCGTTACTGTCTGGGTGCACTTGGGGGTGAGGTTGTCAGGGAACAGATGGGGGTCTCACAGAGGCAAGGGTCTCAACTCCACCACATGCCCTCTGCTGCTTCTATAGGGAGGGAGAAGGAGCTCTGGCCTCTTAGATGTGGAACCAGCTCCAAAGATGTCTAGGGTGGGGATGTGACCTGGGGAGGGAGAAGCAAAGACTGCCAGAGTGACCTGGGTTTGCTGCCAGTCAAGCCTGCAGGGACCCTGTCCGCTGAGCATGTATCTACTTCATGCCAAGTCCTGGGGACACAGGGACAGTGCTGTCGACCCTGTGACTGTCCCTGGAGTAGGACACAATCTCTCCTGCCTTGTTCCTTTCAACAAGGTCCTCTGCATTTTCAAACATGCCCTGGGACCCTGCCACTCAGAGCAAGCTGGGGTAACAAACAGGGAACCATGACAAGGTCTCAGAGCCCTGCACACCCCCACAGGACAGGAAAAGTCAACCCTGTCCTCATGCTCTGCCTCTGCACTGACCCAGGTGCGACATTGCCCTGCTCAAACTGGCTCACCCCGTCTCCCTCACCGACAAGATCCAGCTGGCCTGCCTCCCTCCTGCCGGCGCCATTCTACCCAACAACTACCCCTGCTACGTCACGGGCTGGGGATATCTGCATAGTAAGTGGGAGCCAGGAGCCCCCAGGCCTGGGAGGGAAAGGGAGGTGATGTCACCCCTGTCTGGCCAGGGCCTCTCACCTGTCATCCCAGGACGTGTGGCTGCCTGGGAGAGACGGGATGGCATAGGCTGATGCCTGCCTGGGTTCAAATGTCAGCTCTCCCACTTCATGACTGTCACACCTTGGGCACATTACTAGGTCTCTCCATGCAGCACTTTTATCATATGTAAAATGCAAATAATTCGCTGGGCACCATGGGTCACGCCTGTAATCCCAGCACTTTGGGAGGCCTGGTGGGTGGATCACTTGAGGTCAGGGGACCAGCCTGACCGACATGGTGAAACCCCCTCTCTACTAAAAATATTTTTATAATAGCAGGGTGTGGTGGTGTGCGCCTGTAGTCCCAGGTACTCGGGAGGCTGAGGCAAGAGAATCGCTTGAACCCGGGAGGTGGAGGTTGCAGTGAGCCAAGATTTCGCTACTGCACTCCAGCCTGGGGGACAGAGCGA